GAATTATATTACATTTATTGTTCTACTAAATCAGTGCTAGTTAAGTTCTGCTTTTTTTTTTTTTTAAGGTTTATTTACTTATACATACAGAACTGGGGTATAGGCCAGAGGTGCAAGGGGTGAGAGGATTCGTCAGAGATAGAGTGAGAAACAGAACAGGCAGACTGACTAAAATACACTGCTGAGAAGAGTGGTGGGTAAGACAGGAGAGGTCTGCTGTGCCACGTGGGTCACCCCATTGGCCAGGAATCAAACTCGTGCTGTAGTGGCGTGAATAGCTTCATAGTGCTGTTCTTGAACCCGCTGTGCTACCATGGAGGGACCAAGTTCTACTTCTCTTAAGATACTTCTAAGATAATTATTGGAGTAATTAAAAGGACCAAAGTAGAAAAAAAAAAGCAGCAGGGACAAGTTCCAGTTATGAGGGCAGTGAATGGGAGCATAGCTGGGAAAGGGGTGTGATCGCCACTGACGGCCAGAGGGGGTATACTAAGAAGAGTCGACACATCAACCAGAATTTATGCTATGACCAATGTGCAATGAACTTTTTACATCTGCAATATCAGTAGAAGCAGAAGGTCAGGTGAAAAGAAAAGTCTGACGGCCATGACCTAACAGGTTCTTTTTTGCAGTGGAAACTAGGATGGATGAGGCATGATTGGTCAAGAGGAGGGGAACATTTCAGTGGGAAAGGATGCCACAGCATCTTTTCTTTTTCATATATTTTCTCAAAATATGGTGGGTCTGGTTATTCAGTTTTGTTAGAAATGTGTTCATATTCCTTTTGGGGTAAAAAAGGCCACCAATGATGGTGATCTCAGAGGACTCTCTGAAGGCAGTGAAGGCACAGCACCAGCCTCTGGCTTCACCCAGCTCGTCCTTTAGATATTTGCTTGTTTAACTTCTGACCATTTTCAAGTCTTTGTTCAAATCTTACCGTGCCAATAAGGTCTCCACTGATTCATTCAACTATTTAGAGTTTCTGGCACTCCTGATTCTCCCTACTCTGCTTCTTTTTACTTTTTAGGTAGCATGTATTACCATCTGATGTTTCTGGAGTTGATGCATTCATTATATTGACTGTTGACTGTGGTCTCTCTTACCAGAATGCAAGCACCAAAAGGAAAGTAATCCTAGCTTTTTCCGTACATCCCAAACTCTTCACACAGGCTCAAAAAATATTTGTAGAATGAATGAAAGAATGAATATGGCTGGGGTAGCAAAAGCAATGGGGGAGAGGGCTAGCAGAGATGAGATTATAGAGATGCCAAGGAGCCTCCGAGGTCACATGAATAGTTTAGGTTTTATTCTGGAGGTTAATTTAGCATGATCTGACAGAAGAGGAAGGAGCCAGTAGAGGAAGAAAAGTTGAACCTAATATGGATTCGTGATTAATGGGATACAGTCTAAGAGATAATTAGAAGCACTGGGATCCATATGTTTAGGTGGCCTTGGTCAAAAGAAGATATTCAGTAAGTTAAGTTGATCCTATACTCAACCACAAGCCTGAACCTTTTCATGGTATTTATTATCATTTCCAATTATTGTATTTGGGTAAATTTTATTGTTCTGAGAGAGAGATGTTTCAGAAAGCAATTTGGTGACACTATCATGAGATGTGTAGTTTAGAAAATATTTTTTCTAATCTACAAGCTTACTTGTGTGTAGATGCTTATAAAGGTATAAAAATGAAATAATGCATAGTATTGTAAATGTCACGTAGAGTAGAGAAAATGAAGAGTGATTTTAGGGGTTACTAAAGGCCTACCTAGTTAGGTTATTATTCTGCGTACAAAGACGGGTTATACCACAAGGCCTTGGTATCTGGTTCAGGTGAATAAACATTGTTCCAGGATGACATAGGTCACATAACTAAAGGTGGACTGTAGGAGGATGGACACAGAAAAAACTTGAAATGTAATTAAGCTGGAAATTGGATCTAAGCATCTTAATTTAGGCATTCTCAGTAAAATTTTGAAACAAGATTTACTGCTTTTAAAATAATCTCGGGTAATAGACAAACTTTGTTCAACCATTTACTAGCTGTGTGGTCTTGGGTAGGTTACCTAATTGATACTCTGTCTCCCTCATGATTAAAATGGGGTAAATATTAACATTTAGGCAGGATGATTTAAGGATTAAGTCAGTAAGAAAAACAGAGCCAGGCACAGCACTTAGTAAATGCAAGTTGTGTGTTAGCTGTTATTGTTGCATTTATTTTTATCCTCTAGAACAATATTAAAACACACATAGTCTTGTGACATATTTATGTTATATTTTAGCCCCCTTAGAAATATAGTTATTTGATAAAAAAATTTTATTTATTCCTGAAAATATTCAAGAAAACCATGTTATTTCAAAAAGCAACACTAATATTTGGAAGTAGAAAAACTTAGTCAGAATAGTTATTAATTTCATGATGGGGAGATTACAAAATTTTGTACTATAAGTTATACCAGTCTAACCACAGCTAAGATTTAAAAAACAGTTATGGTTTGACTGCATTGTGCTGTCTGTTTTATATTTGTAATATCTTCCTGATATCAAAATGAGATGCAAGTTTTTATTTTGCATTTTTACAAAGAGAAAACAGGCTTAAAGAATTTGGTAATATGAATAAAGAGAAACCATTAGAAAGTGTCACAAGCAGGTTTGAACCCAGGCAATTTGATCTCTGTTTTCAAGATTATTATAGGCAATTAAAATAATGTGTGATGATTTGCAAATTACAATTTAAAACAAAATGACATTTTCAGGAATTATATCCCCAATCTTTGTAACAAAGCAAAGTATTCTTTATCAAATTCTCGAAGATTTGATAATGCATATTTCACCTAAAGTTAAGGTATAAAATAAAATGGAGAAGAAGATGCTTTACAGAGTTCAATGACCTAGAGAAATGTGAGCATTCATTTTCATTCATCAACAATCTTGGTTTGGGCCTGAGGTTATTCCATGTCTCAACATTTCCCTTAAATGTTATTAATGTCAGTTATTTACATAATTATGTCATTTTGAAGAGATGTTTTCACACCATTATATGTGCACATGCTTCAGTCACTCTCCACCATAATTCCCCGTGCAGAGATCCTAGCTCCTTCCTTCCCCTGCACCCTTCTCCCTGCTATCAGAACCAGGCAGCTACAGGGTCATCTGTAGTCCAGGGTTTGTGGAATGTGCCTTAACTTGTTGGTGATTACAAATCCTCCCTGTGGCTCAAGCAGACACAGCACAGAGGGAGTTTTATGCCACTAGCATTCTACTCTATCAGCCACCACATCCACGATCCTGACCTCCATCCTATAGTCTGGGTTCTTGGACCTCCACTCCCAGTGGCACTTGGGCTGAATTCACCCCATAATCAGGCCTCAAGCAACACAGTAATAGAAAGCAGAGTATTCAAGGTCAAAACACGAGACACCACTCTGAGACTGAGGCCTAATTCAAGACCATTACAGCCAGACTGGGAAGGAAACTGGTCCATCTTAAGCCATAGAAATAACATGTAAGCAGAAGCATTCCCTTCAATCAGTGTAGCAAGAAAAACGTCTGGGAACAAAACCCTAATACAAAAACTAATCAAAGTACTAGAAGAAGACTTTAGAGCAACCATCTTGTGACTATCAGGGAGGTATGCTATTTAAATCACTGGCAGACAGGCTAAGATGCAGATTTCCATTTGCTTTGTAGAAATAACTTCCATAAAAGCAAGTAGTTGCCTCTCAATTCACTAATCTACCTACATGTCTAACTTGTAAGAATTGTTGGTTATCCAATGATTCTAATTTTCACCATTTCAATGAGATAAGACCTAGTACCTGCTGATTCACACTCAGGCTTACAGAGAGTTGGGCTTGGTCATGTTGGTCAAGGCAAGATGTTTCTTGGTTTCACTCAAATGAAGCAGGGAACTTTATTTCCAAATAAAATATTTTGAGCAACCATAAAAGAAGGAATAAGTGTTCATTAACATCATTCTTCTTGTCCTACTACTATATTGTTTTCTTCCAAGAAAATCAGGTCAATTTTCTTGTTTTTATATCAAAACTCATAACTTAGCATATTAAGACTTTTAAATAATACACTCCCAAATTGGTCAAAGTTTGCTAAATTAAACAAGTTCAATCCTTTCCATTCAGGTTTACTTCTGCTTTTTAAAATATATACAATGGAAGAGTCAAATCTAAACTAAAAATATACAAGATTAACAATTCCTACTTAGCAGTTCTTACCTCTCAAACTTCTAACAACTAGAACTTTGAAAATAATTCCTCTGGTAGTCAAACCTTAGCTGACATCCACATCACATTAGCACTTATATATAATCTGTGGAATATGCACTGTATTACTTTTTTTTTTTTTAAGATTTATTTATTTGTGCATACAGAACTGGGGTACAGGCCAGAGGCTCAGGGGTGGTGAGAGGCTTCACCAGAGACAGAGTGGGGAGCAGAACAGGCAGATCGATGAAGTACACTGCTGAGGAGAGCAGCTGGTAGGTCAGGAGAGGTCTGCCACACCATGTGGTCACCTCTGGGACAGGCGGGAATCGAACTCATGCGGAAGTGGCTTTAGCTTTTCAGTGCTGTGCTTTAACCTGCTGCGCCACCAGGGAGGACCTATATTACTTTTTATGTAATATAGAAAATCCTAAATTCCAAAACTATGGACTTGTAGCTTGACTGAGTGAGGGGTCAAAAGATTTGAAGAAAAATATCTCTGTACATAAATAGTTATGCTTAAGTAGGGACTTCAGGTAAATCTTTCTAGTGTTTATTTCATGATTTATAAAGTAAGGGGGTTAAACTAGATGACTTCTAAAATCCTGGACAGTAATTAGGCCTAAGATTCTACTTGCTCAACTCATATACTGAAATACATAATAAATTGGGTTCATTTTATCTTAGATTAAATTTAGGCATTTAGTTTTTCCCACCACATGTGTCAAGTACATATTATTAACTATCTTTCAATTATGTACTTTAATTCAGGTTTAGTACCTGCTTTGCCAAACACAGAAGATAAGCCTTCCATAATGGTCTTGTAGATAGTGGGATGAGAGAGAACAAATGCAAGTGTCCAAAATGCAACCTTAAAAGAAAAACAAACACCACAACCTTCCTTAAAATTTTACTTTATAGTAGTTGTAAACATTTAGAACTAATAAAGGAAATGCTTAAACTTACAAGTATATTAGTAAAGAGTAGTTTTGAAATCAACTAGATTTTATAAATAGACGTTAGATAACTTTAGGGGATTAAATCTATAGTAGTTCTATCCCCTTTCTATATTTATTTAATTATATTGTTAATACAGATTGAATTACCTTTACTAAAAAAGTGAAACAAGACATTTTATTTATACCTAATCAATATAAAATGATATATAGGCATGCATTAAATATCAGAAACAATAAATGATGACTTAGGAATTTTAATCCAAAACAAAAACATCATTCAAAATTTAACTTCCTTGAAATGCAAATAAACTAGCAAGTTATATATTCTGTTAATGACATGGAAATTTTAAGTAAGCACAGAAACCATACCTACAATCTTATAAATTAGACTGAGAGTACTGAATATGTAATGGTCCTTCCACACATGTCATTAAATGTGACATGCTTGCAAGTTCTGTCTAGACAAACAAAATTATTTCAAATATAATTCATATTTTCATCATGATATTATAAAATAAAATCATACTGATATATCCATCTATGTCTATACCTATAAATTAACTTTCCTCTAATTTTCTGTATCTTTAAATAATCCCAATACTCCCCTCAGTGGTCAAAAGAGGAAGAGCAATTGTTTGAAAGGAAGTAGTTCAATAAGCCAAATTCAGTGCTGTTTCCATAAATAAAGCGAGCAGGAGAACACAAGCCATTGCAATCTGGAGAGTCTCTTTTTGTGCATCATCCAGATTACAAAAGACTTACCCTAGAGGTCACCCAGTTCTTGTTTATAATAAAAGACATATGCTAAGAGAGTTCTCCCCTCCTGGCTCCTAACTCAAACTTTTCTACACTTACCAACATATGGAAATGCTGAATGAATGGATTTAATTAATAGCTACTCCATACTCAATTCACTACTTAAAAAGCCACAGATCGATCATGCAAGGAAAGTAAAAATTAGTGGTAGTTCCTAAATTTTCAGATACACAATAGAACTCGACATTTTACTAATTAGTGCTTAATTGCATTTAATCAGAGCTTAAAGGATTTCAATAAAATTGGGTAGTACTTATTTTTATGACAAAGGAAATTCAGTTAAGCCTTAAGCCTTCAATGGCTATTTAATATTATTACTATTTTTAGTGACTCTTTTCTAAATGAATGCCTCTTCTAAAAATCAATCATTTTCAACTTCAAAGAACCAAATTAGTTTTTAAAAAGTAAAAGATGAGTAAAACACAGTAAAGAATAAATGAACAGCTCATCTATATTATTGAATCAAAAAATAAGAATAGTGAATGGAGGTCTTTGTGTGTCTATATTTGAGAAAGGAATTAAAAACTGTTCCCAAGTGTACTAATTATTTTAACAATAGGGTCAAGTCCAAGGTGAGAGCTGTGAAAAAAGCAAAGGACTACCTGGCTCACTGAATTTAGAGAGCAGTGGCCAGACTGTCCTTGCATTGTTTTGGAGAGGTAAGAACAAAGGTGTGGGGCTCTCCCTGGTGGCGCAATGGGTTAATGCACCGCATTACAAAGCTTTCCAAGCCACTGCAGCATGAGTTTGATCCCAGGCTAGCCAGGGAGTTAATCCACATGGCGCAGCAGACCTCTCTTGACCCACCCACAGCTCCCCTCAGCAGTGTACTTTGTCCATCTGCCTGTTCTGCTGCCTACTCTCTCTCTGGTGAATCCTCTCACTGCCCCTGGACCTCTGGCCTATACCCCAGTTTTGTAAGCACAAAGGCATGAAGGGACAAGGAGGAAAGTTGTGCCCTTATTTCAGAGAGAAGGTGAATTGAGTATGTTCTTCAGCATCAGTTATTCACCCACTCAAAAAAATCTTTAATATTGATGGTGTCTCCATAACATCTTGACCAATCATGGAAAATACAAATATGGCTAATAAATTCCTGCCCAAAGAACATTTCACACCTAGTGAGGATATGATACACATACAGGAGAATAAAGACCTAATTGTGCAGACAAATAATGGCTGTGGGATGGTAGAGCAGCTGTAGCTGTAACTATTGAAAACGTTTAGAAAGAGCCTCAAAGAAGTGATTACAAAGGTAAAATATTAGCTTTGAGATTAATATTGGAAAAGGTTCTTAAAAAAGTTCATTTGGTGGGCCCTCCCTGGTGGCACAGTGGGTTAAAGCACAGCTCTAAGAAGCTAAAGCCACTTCAGCATGAGTTCGATCCTGCCCTGAAGGGGACCCACATGGTATAGCAGACCTCTCTTGACCCACCCGTTGCTCCCCTCAGCAGTGTACTTACTTCGTCAGAGAGCCTGTTCTGCTCCCCTGTCTGTCTCTGTGAATCCTCTCACTGCCCCTGCACCTCTGGCCTGTACCCCAGTTCTGTATGCATAAATAATCTTTAAAAAAAAAAGTTCATTTGGCAGTCAGTAATTGGGGGGGACTTGGAAATGGTTGTCCCATAGAAATAATTGTATATGTTACAGTTGATATCTTGGGCCAAGTACTGAAATTCACCTAGACCACAATATCCTAGAAACCTACTCTAGGTCTACCTGATGCCTGAGCTTTGAGTTCCAGCCTTGAAGCAAAGCACAGAGTCAGAAAGAAGGAAAGAACATGATGGAGGCACTAAGAAAGGTCATGCCCATAGCTGCGAGCTCTGGCAAGGCTTTCAGCAGCTTTCTAGAGAGAGACAGGAGGTCACCAAGCTGGAATAGCAGGACCTACTCCCATCTGTGGTCATTTGAAGTGGTCAAGTTTTGGAAGCCAGTACACTATTAAAGGACCAATTGAAAGTAATGGGTGATAGAAAGCATGGCACTACTTTTTATGAAAAGAAAGCTAACATATATTATGCAGCTAATTTTTGCCAAGGATGAGTCACTTTCTGTTTTTTATAAATACAATGTTCTCAACTACCCTATGAAATAGATCCTATTAGTTCCATTTTACAGATGGAACACTGAGGCTTAGAGAAGTTAAACAATTGGCCCACTGTCATCTAGTGCTGGGATCTGGCTTTGGCCCTGATGAAACCCTGCCCAGGGTCACTGCCCACATACCAGCTGCCTCTTGAAGGTGCCAACAAACGTCAGCAAGATGGAACTAATCATCAGACACTTCCTTTCATAAATTAATTATTTAAGTCCTTTCAGACCAGTGCTGGGAACAAATTCCAAAGAACTGACTTCCCCTGTGTCTGAACAATAGGGCTTTGTGTCCCTTCCTTCTGGGGACCTTCCTAATGAGATCTTGAAAATTAATCCTGTGACAGAAGTAGCTGTTTTGCTGCTGCTTTGAGAGCTGTTTTGATGTTTGCCTTTTAATTTTGCTAATAGCCTAATCAGTTTCCCAGAAAATTGCATAAGGAAAAAAATCAGAGAACAATATTAGAAGTACATAAAGAAGGGAAAGGATTAGACTATTTTTTTCTTGCTCACACCAGATGAAATACATATTCTAGTGGCTGTCACAAATTTGAGCAGAGAGGCCAGAATTTCTATTTCTGCTCTTTACCCAGCAAGTTTCATATTAGATAAGAGTATCAGGATTTAGAAAGCTTCTTACAACCTTCCAAAGAGGAAGGACACTTAAAAGAACTTAATTCTCTTTGTTACGAGAAAAAAGAAAAACAAATACATTTGTCATTAGAGATGAGTTATATGACCCTGTTTAGTAGAAAACAGATACATAAAAGCAAACACACATATATAGAATTTCTCAAATATATTCCTGTGAAGTCCTTTCACAGGAAACTGGTGTGTATCAAAAATGAAGTGGCAGACAAACCTCATGGCTTTAATCTAGTTCACAACAGCTTTAAAAAGAAACAGTTTAAAAAAATGTTTGCTTTCTTTAGAAATACTGTGCTTGCTATGGTGGCCAGCTCTGTTCATGAGGAAGCTTAGAGGACCAAGCCAGCAAGCAATGCAAACAGAAATGGCACCCAGAAGAACGGGCAGAGCAGAAGACAAAAAACTAACATTCTCTGGATACCAGCTGGGTTTATCTCATTGAATCTTTACAAGCACCTTGTAGAGAAATGAGAGCTACCGTTATTTAGTCTCTAAGTCCTAGCACCATTCTAAGAGCTTTATTATCCCTTTTTTACAGCTAAGGTAATGGAGACGCACAGAGTTTGCTACCTCCATGAAATTCTTCTATAGGTTTGGCTGGGAGATAACTGGATTTATACCCAGTTCTTTCGGATATTATCTGTCCACTCAATGAAGGTTGAGGCCCTCCCTGGTGGCACAACAGGTTAAAGTGCAGCACTATGAAGCTCTGGCAGCCACTGCAGGAGAGTTCAATCCCCAGCCAGGGAGCTGACCCACATGGCACAGCAGACCTCTCCTGTCTCCACCACCGTTTCCCTCAGCAGTGTATTTCAGTACATATGCCTGTTCTGCTCCCCACTCTGTCTCTGGCGAATCTGCCAACTCCCCACAGCTCTGGTCTGTACCCCAGTTCTTGTATGCATAAACAAATAAATCTTAATTAAAACAAAAAGTTGAGGCCAGGTCTTATTCAGATTTCCAGCACCAGTACACCAAATGTTGCCTGAAAGAAAGTACCCCACGTGTGGGTGCTGTCACTACTGACCCCAAAGAGCAAGCTTTCCCCTTAATCTGTTCTGTGTTGCCTTTCAGAGGGAGAAATTACTCCAGATATCCATTCTGCCTCCTTTGTGATTTTATCAGATTTCTTAAAGCCTTCAGATTTGTTTTTCTGTCTCAGAACTAAACCCATCACAGTCTTTTTCTTCCCCCATAATGAGAAGTAAAAAAAAGAAAAATGAAGAGAGAATTTGAAAGTGCAGTGGACAGAAAACCGTTCCTTTACTAATATACTTACAGGGACAGCATTGGACAGAGAAGCCCAAAGTAGTAAGAGCCCATAATTGGGACAGTTTTGTTCATCTGTTTCCATCTCCACCATATCCAGCACAGCCTGAAATAATGTCTGTTTAAAAGAAATTAATATTATAAAAAAAAAAAAAGACTGCCAAGAACCAACTAATTGGCAAATACTGATGTTAATAAACAAAATATATGTGTTTTTCATTAACTGAAAGCTAGTATATGAAGAAGTAAAAGATCAGTCATTGTAGGAGGTGGGACAGAGTAAATACACAGAGTAAATAGACAGAGTAAAGAGGATATTTACAGTCATGAAAACATATTATAATGATGAACATGTATATTACACATTTGTCAAAACCATAGGATTTACAACACAATAGTGAACTCTAACATAAACTATGGGCTTGAAATGATTATGATATGTCAATGTACAACTCTGATGGATTTACATATGTGTTGGTATTACAGCAATTAGGAATAGGGACTCAGAAGCGTAACTGGTGTAAATACTGGCTTAGTTTTGTTTTAAGACTTTATTTTTTGAGTGCAGTTTTAGGCTCACAATAAAAAAGAGAGGAAGATACACAGATTTCTCATATAATCTTATCCTTACAGTACATAGCCATTATCAAATTCACTTACCAGATGGTACTTATTATTATTATTACTATTATTTTAATCAGAGGTGTACATAATCTCCTCGAGTCCACAGTTTATCTTAGAGTTCACTGTTGGCATTACAAATCCTATGGGTTTTGACAAATGCAAAATGATACATGTCCATCACTATAATAGTCCTAAATATCCTTTTTGCTCTGCCTGTTCATTCTCCCACCTCCTACAATAATTTATCTTTTTATTTTCTTCCTGGTTTTGCCTTTTTCAGAATGTCATCAAGTTGGAATCACACAGTATGTGACCATTTCAGATTGGTTTCTTTCATCTAGTAATGTATATTTAAGTTTCTTCTATGAAGTTCCACCATTCACACTCCTTGACCCTTTCAGATTAGTGAATCAGAGAACTGCACTGTACAGTAGTATAGTTACCTTGCATCAGATTTTAAGACACAGGAAATAACTACTACATTCCTACTAAAGAAAATACATGGTGGGAGATTGTTGCTGTTACTTACCAAGGCGTGTAATGTTTCAGAAGTGATTAATCAACCTAACCTCCAGCTTTCTGATTTTAATAATCTCCACTTTCCAGGATATTAATGTCATTGTAAAATATAAATGAGTTGTGAGTTTTAGAAATGCATGATCATATGCTCGGCATAGAGTTAGCACCTCATTAGTATTAGTGATAACTTATTTTTGTAACAGTGGCTTAGTAGAATTTGCCATAAATCCCATCTGTCACTGCTGACACAACCAAATGTATAATATATAAATCAATAAAGTATCTCAGATTTTTAAAATTTTGTTGCCTACATCCTTATTTTTTTCTTATATAGAAGACTTAATTCTTACCTCACTCTTGTGAGTTAATAAAATAATGCATGTGAACACTTAGCACAGTGCCTGGCACAGAATGGTATCTAATTAATCTCACGGTTTGTGGCAAAATATATATTTTTATCAAATATAGCTTAATACAGTTTTCATTTCCTACATTTTAGCAAAGAAGTTAAGGAATACTTACCATGGAATTATCTTTTGTTGATTTCGAAACTTTAACATCTGGAATGTTTTTCTTAAGAAATGTTAGAAACCACTTTTTGGACTCTGACCAGTTTCTAAGTGAGAAAAAATATTTATGTAAGTTAATTTGAAAGCATTTGAAGAGTAATTGTTCATAGCATAAAAGGAAAAATGTCTGTGGAATTGTTTTTCCAAATTTCTTCTTTAGTTTCAGTTAGAACTTCATGAGACCTACCTTTAGTCTTACTAATGCTACAAGGAAAATGTTAGTATCTTTTTGAAATAAATGGTGAATTCTTATAGGACTGGCACTGACTATGAAAACAAAGACCACAACTTACTTGGCCTGCTTTTCATTCATGCTATTATCAGTTCGAGGTAGGGAAAAACCAAAACTAGGCAACTATCCACTGCTGGTTAAGTCAGGAAAAGCAAACGGGTTTTGACTTCTTGACTCTTTTTAGATGGGCACTACTGTAGATTAACAGCCAAGAGATATAAAAAATGTGTTATTTTGTGCATTCAAATAATCTTACCAACATTTATCGGTACCCACTGTGAGAAATACCTTTGACCAAATCTACTTATGCCTCAAAGAAAATAAGGACAGCAATGTCTAATTGTGAGACCGGTCACTTGATGACTTAACATATTCTAAACTGCAGCAGTGAAGGTAGTGATACTAAAGTACAAATGGATACATGCAAAAAAAAAAAAAACCTCTTTATTTCTATTTTCTCTTTCTCCCTCCCTCTAACCCTCAAAATAAGGAAACTGAAAAATAAGGCATCTCTCTTCAATTACTTCTTGATTCACACACATACACACAACCCCAAAACAAATTGGTGATAAATAATTTCTGTCTCTTCCACTTACATTCCTGTTATGTTTGGTTAGCACATAGAAGTGACATAAGTGTATCAACTGCTGAGAGAATTTGATCAAGGAATGAGTTCTAAGAAAATGGAGACAACTCTGTACCTTAGTAGATATTCTGGAACCTGGGATCCATACTCAAAACCTTCATCATAAGTTTGAAAATGCCTATGGAACTCCTTGATTTTCCTTTCATTTGTGGGAAACAAACCTTTTTTAAAGAGTGTATTCACTGTGACTGGATAAAGTAGATGCCTACAAAGACAAAAACACATTAAAAAAAAGACCCAATGAGTAAAGAAGGCAGGCACAAGAAACAAAAGGGAGCATTATTTAATATGTTAGTGACAGATAATATGTAACAGACTCATTTGGGAAAAGCCACACTTGGAAGGTTTTAATATTTGCTTGCTGTGATCAAAATAATTTAGGGATAACTGAAATTGTATTCTTATCTATTAGAAGATTTATAAATGCTTTCAAAGCAAGCAATGTCATATTCTGACAATTGTGAGATGATAAGCAGAAAGTCAATTCAATACAATTTGAACAAGCATATAATTAACAAATAACAACAACATATTGTTCATGTTTCTAGATAGCAGCAAAAAATAACCAGAAAATGAAGAGCAACATTAGTCATCAAATTTTCTAATGTCACAGGATCCTACAAATTTGACCTACTGTATATTGAAATATACAACCTATCATCCATAACTTTTACCTTAACTGGAAAAAAAAAAAAAGACTACTGTGGAATAATTAACTGAAAAAACAAAAAAAGATTACCAATATTTTTTTTTTTAAAGATTTATTTATTTGTGCATACAGAACTGGGGTACAGACCAGAGGCTCAGGGGCGGTGAGAAGCTTCACCAGAGACAGAGTGGGGAGCAGAACAGGCAGATTGACGAAGTACACTGCTGAGGGGAGCAGCGGGCGGGTCAGGAGAGGTCTGCCACGCCATGTGGTCACCTCCGGGGCAGGCGGGAATCGAACTCATGCGGAGGCGGCTTTAGATTCTCAGTGCTGTGCTTTAACCCGCTGCGCCACCAGGGAGGGCCACCAATATTTTTTTAGGTTAGTAATACTATTGCTTATTTCCTTTTTATTTACCTTCCTTACTAGAAATTCTTCAGAACCTCACTCCCCAATTTTAAAGGCTTGCAACAATTGGCTTTGTTCTGTTGAAAGTACTGAGCATGCTAAAACTTTGTTTGCTTGGTTTTGTGTTTGTTATTTCTCTGTCCCTTTTTCTGGAATGTTTGCTAAATGTTACTGTTCTGTTTTGAGCCTGAACTATTTAATCCTACCTTCAGCATCCCAGCTTCCTACTGAGGTGGGAAAGTACCTAACTGGTAACATCAATTTGTGACATTTTCTTATGCATATGGAGAATTTTCTCCTTGCTTGCCACACCCTGCCCAAACCTTTGCCAGAGGGCTACAGAGTATGATGTGCTCCCTGGCTCTCTCCACTGCCCTACCCAGTGACACCCATCTCTCAGAACCCCCCCACACCACCCCCCACCACCACCACCAAGAAGAAGCCTGGGCTGAGTCCTGAGGCCAACAGTGACTTTGCCTCAGCCACCTTGACAAGCCTCACAAACATCTCATACATCTCATAGACCCTTGTCATCTACTTTAAAATTCTTTACTCTTTCCTCTCCTCTCAATGGCAGCTTGTTCTAGCAATCACAAATTACACTAAAGTTTTATCAAAATGTTGATGGGAACATAATAATTGTAAGAGGTAAATCCATACAGAGCATACGCACCTGGAGTAAGAAGAAACTACTGTAAAGGTAGGTATTGCATGAGTATATTGGTTGATTTATTCACTTTAAAATTTGCCTTGAATGAAATTTAAAAGATTTATCTCGTAATTACCTAGATAGGTAAAGACTTCATTCATTTACTATAATTTTGAATTTTAATCTACAGTCTCCAAATTTTAATCCCTCCTGTCCCTCTCAAAAAAACTAAATCAAACTGATGCATCTAGTTACCTTACTAAGTGGTTCAACTCCATTGTCCCATGAGTACCCAGATTCTCCAACTGTCCATGTAATTCTTCTGTCAACTTTCCAGAGATTTGCTCTAGGTTGAAAGTGCCCATTTTCCCTTTCATCATGATATAAAGTTTTTCATGTAGTGTGAAAAAGATGTTCTTTGGAATTGATGCTACAAAGAAAGAAATATGTTTTCAAAAGAAAATCAAAGAACTACTTGAAGCAAACACTCAATATACCTGATAGGGACTACAGCCAAAGTCTGCCCAGTACATAATCACCTTTTACAATTAAAAAGGTGATAAACCATTTTTACAAATAAAAATGGTTTGACCTACGTTTATAAGTAGTAAAAGATGGTAGGGTATTTCACTTTAAGGGATGAGCGATAGATGGGTAATTTAAGAAGGCCTCTGAGACTCAAAATTTAGTGATTTTATTTCCAAGTTAAAAACATTTCATTGGATTTCTATCCTTAAGCTTTATTAAGACCTTCTATCAGCTCTTCAACTCCTCAGTGATATTTTTGGTGCATCTCCCTCCAAATCTATATTCCAGTCTATTGAAATCACATACTCTTTTTTTCACATTCCAGCATTTTCATGAGCTTTACTTTTCTCAGGACATTCTCTTCTTGAATACCAATCTTACCTACACCCCTACACAACTACATCTACAAGTCATAAATTTCTTCTGCTGCTTATTTTCCCTCAAGGGTCTTCTTGAAAATTACTTCTACCAGGAGGCCTTTCATATAACCCCATGAATAACTTCCTCCCACTATCTCCTTTATATTAGTGTTTATGCTCCTTCCACAACACATCCTCCTGGTTGGGTTGAGTTGGGCTGAGTTTTTGAACTCATTATTCTTTTACATTTTTAAAAAAATTTTCATTCAAAGTACTTTTTTCAAAAAATAAATAGTAATTTTATACATTATCATCCTATTATGTGAAGGTTACATTTTGCATAAGTTTATATAGAAACAATTTGTAGATTTCTAGAGCATACATCATCTCTGAGGAAAGGGAATATGTGAGAAGACTAAGAAACTGTATGAAGAGTAAATATTAGTATATTTACTCTGTTAAATAGATATATTTTACATATGAAAGGCCCCAGGGAGCAGAGCTAAACAAATCTTACTCATTTCTCCACACCTCTAACAGGAGAGTAAGTTGGTACATTTTTATGACTATGTGAATGTACACATCAAAAGTGCCCCAAATATTTATATTCTTTGATCTGGAATGCCATAGTCCAAATATCAACAATTACTAAATAGTCAAAGAATGTAATCAACCTATTGTGATTTTCATGCAAGGAAGCAAGAAGAAATAAATATCACATTACTGACCTCTAACAGTTTTTAGAATACTATTTTCTCTTAATGGCAAGAAATACACGAGAGGCTACAGGAAAGGGCACATATAAAAGAAGCAAAAATGAAAGCAAAAGAAAGCTGTAGACAGCAGAAGCAAGTACAGACATTGTAAGCAGAACTAAGCACAGGGTGTACCACCTCTGCATGCTTGTTCTCAGAAGTAATAAAGGCAGAGAGTCACACTGGAAGCAGGTTATTTAACATACATGATAACATACATGGTAGCAGTTTCTAAGGGTGAAGAATCAAAGAGCACCCAGCACATGAAGTGAAGCCCCGCTTACCTTTATAGCCCCATGGAACATGCTGGGAAAGGCCATTGGAAAGATTTACTAAGCAGTAGCTTCTACTATCAGAGAACAGAGTAGTGAACATGTAGTCAAGCCAAGAAATACAGCTTGTAGAACATTGTATATCCAGCACCAGAACAGGGTTAATGACATTGGGGGTTAGAACAAGATAAATATTACAAATATTTTCCAAAGTAAGCACCAGCAAGACAACATCTTTCTTAATTTATTCTGTGTATTAGGTTCAATATGTATTTGCTTTTCAGTGATCATACTCATTATACACTTTTTTCCCTTCCTACCCCTACACTTAAGCATAATTTATGGGGCCATGTCAGATTTCTTAGAGGAGTAAGACCACAAGTGTTACCATAAACTACTTTTGGATCTCAATCTTTTATTTCAAATGAATGATCTAAAAATATTCTTTACCTGTACGATAGACGGGATTTTGTACTGCTAGTTCAAAATTTACTTCTTTGGATTTTAAAAACACATTCATTCCCTCTTCTTCAGTAATAAAGGTCATTCGAGTGCCCAGTGCAAAGACTGTAAATATTGGTCCATACTGATAGAAAAAAATGACACAAATCATATACAAATTATTGGGTCATGGGTTATGTTTAAGACAATGCTCTCAAGGACATCTAATACAGAAATTTGCCAAGATAAAAGCTACACTTACTACATAAGTGAATTAGTGATAAATTTCGCAGATTCAGTTGATCTAAATTATATAAATCCAAATTTATTCTCTCCTAATACTTAACTTTCTTTTGATCACATTATTATTTACTTGTATCTACCTTAGTTATTATTATATAAACGAATAATCTGAAATAATTATTCAAAGCCATCTCAACAGTTGTAATATTTCAACATTGTTATTAAAATAACTGTAATCTCACAAGTGACCTAAGCTCCACTTTGTTCAAGAAAATGATGCAAATAGCTGATTTCACCTTACATCTGTAGTGACCCAACAATGCCTTGCAAACCTCAAAAGCTCACTAATGGGCTTACTTTCTCACTTTCCAAAATGACAGTTTCACCTGTACTCCTTGCCCAACCCTCTCCACTTTAAGACAGTGCTCCCAATTTATAACTCAAGAAGCAATCAAGTAAGAGCACTCTCTACTTTTCCCCACCAAATCCTGCAAAGATAATAAATCTGTACCCATTTTCCACATGTCCCCTCAGGTTAACACAGATGCAAGATTCTGTTCCTGTGAAATACCAGGACTCCTTCACTTGCATTATAGATTCCACATTCTCTTACCTTCCTTCTGTTCTACCTTTATGCCTTCTCTCCCTTATATCATCAGTTTCATCTTTTCATCAGATCACTATTTGTAGCCTACAAACATACTCTAGTGCAGGGGTTGACTTCTGGGAGCCCATAATAATATTGAGGAAAAAATAAATTAGTATTTTCACTGACCTGTAATTACAATTTAACATTTTATCAAAATACAAATAACTTTAGGTAACAAATCCCAAAGTTATCCATAACTCTATCATCAAAAGAGGTCAATGTTCCATCTGCAATTTCATAAATTCTATGTCTATTTGGCATCAATTCATCATGATGCTAATAATATTAGCTGTTATTTTCTTATTTTTGGTGCTCTGACTTTTGATAGCCTTGCTACTAAGGAGAAATTGCTCTAGCCTAGGGCTAGCCAATTCTCAGAAAGAACAAAAAGCTCACTTAGCCAGGAATAAGCATTTCTTATGCAAAACAACTCACCTAGAGTGTCTACCCCAGTTCCTGACTACCTCCTTATTTCACAGACATCAAGCCAAGAGTTCAAAAGCATGTCAAGGCCAGGTACCAAACAAACAGAGACCAGGTGACAAACAACCCCTCAAAGCCCAGAGAAATTACTCAAACTAGTCAATATTAAATTGTTTTATCATATCCTGCCTTGGTTTTCCTGAAGAAGTCTAGATTTAGACTGTCTAAGCTTTCCTCTTGTTCCTCATGCCTCCTCTCTGACACTGGTGCTTTATGTCCTGATCTGCACAGCATGCAATGACAATCCTCTTCAGTATAACAAACTTCCCTCCAAGAAACATTATTATTTCTTCCTATGAAGTTCCATAGTATGACTTTACCATACCACATCCAACATGTATTTTCTTAGAACAAAGTCTCATATTTTATATAACATTGCAGTTATAAATACCTTGAAATATCAGTAATACTCATTAATTCAATATTACAAACATGTCTCACCTGCCACGAATGGCACATGATCATTCAGAGGACACACTGGTGGGGACTATCAGGTCCACAATTTTGAGTGTATCTTTTTTTGTTCAGTTCCTATAGTTATTGCTTTCGGTATTACTTTGTTAATACATAACTGGTCACAGTCAATTGGTGTAGTCATTTACCAGTTCAAAGGGATCTTTCTCTATGTCTTGTTACTCTCTCTTATTTATAAAAAATTATTTATTTATGCATACAAAACTGGGATACAGGCCAGAGGTGCAGAGGGTGAGAGGATTCATCAGAGACAGGGCAGGGAGCAGAACAGGCCGATTGATGAAGTACACTGCTGAGGGGAGCAGCAGGCAGGCAGGTCAGGTCAGGTCTGCGCGTGCCATGGAGGGGTCACCTCCATGCTCAACTGGCTTAGCTTCTTAGTGCTGTGCTTTAACCCGCTGACCACCAGGGAGGGCCATATAATTATACTTTTACATACATTTCGAACGACATCAAATAGTGTTAGAATTTTTGCTTTAGGACAAAACATAATTTAGAAATCTGAAGAGAAATAAATTTTATTGTATTCACATATATTTTGATTACTGTGTCATTCTTGATGTCCAAGATTCCTTCTTTTATTGCTCTTTCCATTTAGATAACTTCCTTGAGTCAAATATTTAAAATAGGTTTGCTAGCAAGAAATTAATTTAGTCTTCCTTTAATTGAGAATGTCTTGATTTCCCCTTAATTCCAAGTGGATATTTTTTCTAAAGGGATGATCCTTTGTTGATAGCTCTCTTCTTTGAGCATTTAAGAAAATGTTACTTTTCTTCTCACTTCCTTGGTTTTTGATGTGGAATCTGTCTGCTCACCATAACAAAGTTTCATTATTCTCTTGCAGCTTTTAAGAATTTTTTATTTGACCTTAGATTGTAGAAATTTGACTATCATGTGTGATGTTGTAGATTTCCTTAGGTTTATCTTATTTGAAATTAACTAAATTTTGGTCTTTAGCCAATTTGGGAAATTTTCAGCCTTACTACAAATACCTTTCATCCCACCCTGTCTCTTCTCTCCTTCTGGAACTGTGGTAACATGAATGTTAGTTCTTTTGTTATAGTCTTAAATCCCTAATGAGCTATTGATTTTTTTCCTATTTATTCTTTTATATTGGATAATTGACCTATTTTCAAGGTCACTGATTGTTTCTCTCTGTTACTTATTGTACTGTTGTACCCATCCATTGAGTTTTTATTCTTCTTGCAGTATTTTATTTTCATTTCTAAAATTTCCAATAGTTTCTTCTTTATGTGTACTATTTCTTTTCAGAAACTTTCTATTTCTTTGCTTTTTTTTTTATTTTCCCATTCAATTAAAAAATGTTTATAATTACTTAATTATTGAAGCATTTTACCATGACTACTTTATGATACTTGTCAGAGAGCTACAGTATCTGTTATCATTTCAATGTTCTTATCTGTTAATTGTTTTTTGTTATTCAAGTTGAAATTTGTCTGGTTCTTTATGTGAGGAGTGATTTTCTGGTGAAATCTGGATACTTGGTATATTTTGGCATGATATTGTGAATCTTATTTAAATCTTATGTTTTCTAGGCTTCCTTTGCCGTTATTATATTGTAAGAAGTTGGGTGCCACATTATTGCCAGGGGATAGATACAAATTTAGGCTCTTCACTCAGTCCCTATTTGTACCTTGTTAATGCTGGTTACAGGTGCCCCTTGGATGGATAGTCCTAGGAAAAATGTTAACCAACTACTGCTGGGGGTGGAGACAGGGATAAGAAATATTAAGGTACTGCAGAAGCAGCCCCCAGGATTCAATGTTTGGGATTCAGCTTTCTGGATTTCAGCATTTTTGGATCTTCAGCAATTCAAGAGTCAGTGATTTCTACTGCCACCATGTTTTTCCAGACAGTATTTGCAGGCTTCTGAAGGATGTGGAGAAGCCTCCAGAAGCCAACCTCAGAGAAGAAAAGTTCAGAGACTTTGCAAGTAGCTGAACAACTGAAATTGATCCCAGTTTTGCTGCAGTTACAGCAGGGAAAGTGAAGACCTGGAGCTGGTGACTTGCTGGACTGTGTGAGTGTGGCCATTTGACAGGTTGCTTGGCCATACAGCTGCTGTTTTGAGCGTAGCTTGTCTGGTACTGTGCTGGGGATTCTCAGCAACTCTGGTGAGCATGTACTGTTGTGCTTCTGCTCTCTACATGAGTTAGAACCTGGCCTATAGTCTGGCTGCCATGTGCTGTGTCCTCAGTGATGCAAAGACACCATCTTGGAAGCATTTGTGTTTAAAGCACTGGACACTGTGGCCCTCCCTGGTGGCGCAGTGGGTTAAAGCACATCACTAAGAAGCTAAAGCCACTTCAGCATGTGTTCGACCCCACCCTGGAGTCCTTAGGTGACCCACATGGCGAGGCAGACCTCTCCTTGCCTGCTCGCTGCTCCCCTCAGCAGTGTACTTCATTGATCAGACTGTCTCTGGTGAATCTTCTCACCGCCTCTGCACCCCTGGCCTGTACCTCAGTTCTATATGAATACATAAATAAATCTTTAAAAAAAAAAAAGGAAAGAAAAAAAAACACTAGACACTGCTTTGGGCTAGGTAAATTATTTTACCCCCCTCTGTAACTCTTTTGCTTATCCCTGATTTATTAAATAAAACCCATTATTGTTCTCTAAACTCAAGTAGTCTTGCAATTGCGTGCACAGATGAAGAACTCAGATGGTGACTGGTAAACTATTTGGGTAGTATCCTCAGTCAGTTTTAGTGCCCGTTACTGCCCTATATCAGTTGGAGATGAAAATGAAATCTCCTCACTGGATTTCTTCTTATATCACTCTGTCTGACATATCACTCTGTCTGACAGGAGAGGGCTCCTCATTACTGCTTCCTCATGGCCTCCACAGACATGAGAGTAAGAAGTTTAGGAAGTAACCGCTTTATTGTTGAGTGGTATAAATATTCTGACTTATCTATTAAGGCTAAGTGGTCACAATGGTTGTGGGGGACTCCACTACCTCTGGGTTGTAGTAAGGTCCCGGATACTGATGTGGCCTTAACACTGCAGTAGGCTGAATTTATTAAAAGTAAAGAAAGTCATGATTTTCTACTATGCCTCCTCTGATACCACCCCATCTTGGAGCAGAAAGGTTACAGGCTAACAAGGCTAAATAGTTAGGTTTCTTGCTTGCCATTTGCTAACGAAGGTAGGCCAAAGATTTTCCCGCAGTGTTTGACTGGATTACAACAGTTATTATTGCCTGGAAGTTTTTGTTTTGCTAGACTGCTGCTTTCCTGGTTATATGGAGAGAACAGACTTTTCTTAGAACAT